TATATATATATGTATGTATACGTATACGTATATAGACACAAAGGTACACACGTAAGCACATATGTATGTACACACGAGATACGTAAGAATTAAACATATATACATACCTACTTTCGATTAAATCGCAATTTAAGTGGTAATTCACCTACTCGATTGTAAATTTCGGTAGTGAAATGCTTTGTAAAATTATAAGTGCTGTCTATAATGTATATACAGGGTGAAGATGCGATTGAAGAAGAGAGAATAGGAGAAAGAATAAAAACGTAAGTTTAAAAAGAAAATCATTTGTCCGAAGGAATAATGTGTCTTACATATATGGCAAATATAGCGAAAGATACGTCTTGAGAAAGAATGAACCTCTATCGGATTATGAAATAATAGGTGTGTTCCTCTTATATTAGATGGAGTAAAAGTAATACAATAGTTTCATAATCATCTGACAAGAAGAGAAGAGATAGAAAGATACAGAAAAAAATATAGATTATAAAATCACGAAGTCTGCTTTGTCTTGTTATAATCAAATACTTTATATTATGTAGTACAGGTTGTCATTAAATGTGTGAACAAACCTATTTCATTCAAATCTTTTATTATTATTATTATTATTACTATTATTATAAATATATATTGCACGAGAGATAATACGAATTTTTCGTTATCACATGTTTTTCGTGTAATGTGGGATCTTTATGTTTTCATCGTTTATTGCGAATAAATCATTTGTAAAAGTTGCATTGAACGTTTTAAGTTGGCCGATTATTATTTTTATGTGCATAAACGAGTTTTTGATACATAAGGAACACACGTACGGTAAGTGAATTATTTTTTCCGGCAATAAAAACGAAAGTAATTTACAAAAAACTTAAAGCTTGTCTATTTAAAATAAATTGAAATATCTTTTGAATTATTTTATACAATACCATGCTATTCTTCGTCTTTACAGAGGTTTAAAATTTTTACATCACATGTAATATACATAATCATTAATTAATAACTATAGTATACTTACTAAATTAAACTAGCACAATATTAACAATTTTTCATTGGCATGTATTAAAAATTCTCAACAGTATCTTAACAGTATGGAATGTCCTTTTAAAACCAGAAATTTGTCTTATGTAGAATAATTAATTAAATAAATAGCAAGTGATTAAGTAAAGAGCAAATTATTTTTGCACGTTATAGTACAATGGAAATTTTTATCAAAAATATTCTATATTTTGCATTTAATGGTTTAATGATTTCTCTTAAGTATCATTTTTGACTATACGCAATAAAACTGCTCTTTTAACATTGGAACACAATATCAGTTTCAACGGAGATCAAAGAAATTAAATATCAGAAAAACTAAAACACCGAAGTACCTCTTTTACAATATATATACAAGATAAAAAATATAATTATATAATACCTTATAACTATATAATAAATAAAAAGTAAATTAAAAACATTTTGACACGAAAAAAATCAACACAAATAGATTTACAGAAACAACATGTAACAATAAGATAAGCATGAAATTAAGTATATTAAGAAGAATGTATCTTTTGAATTACCTTGAAAGACTAATTTTAGTCTTAATTTTAGTCTTAAAGTAATTATTCGATATATCTATATTGTAGAGTGGAAATGTAATTTTATGTATGTTCAATATATGACATTCAAATCAATGTTAGTATATATGTACCAAGTTTCTTAATCGATAATTTGTCTATTTTCGCGACTTTAACACATGCACTTATTATTTCATTATTTTTACAATATAAATATGTCCTCCTATTACAATATAAGTATATCCTCCTAATATATGTACTTTTAATTTGTATTTTGCCTTTGTTGATTCTGCATCGTCAATCTTGCTATTTCCTCGCCAAGAGTATCGATATTATCCTAAAAATACAACAACAAGTTAGAATAATAATTTTATCATATGTTTCAGATGTAGTAGACCAATAGTTTTATATTTACCTTTAGAGTAATATTCTTGAATAACGCATCCTCGAGAACAGCTTGGAGTTTTTGATTTATTTCTAGTGATAATTCAAGAGTCATGTTATCGTCAGAGACTCGTTGATTGTAGACAGAGGCCATTATTCCTCCATGTCTTGCTAACTCAGCCTATAATTATGAATATCTTTAGATTTTTAAATCATTACAAAAAGTCACAATAGCAGTTTAAATCTTTATTCTTAAACTCACTGCATTTCTCCTACTTTTGATATGCTTTTATACAAAAAATGAAATGTAATATAATATAAAACTCGTAATATCGACAATATTATCAATTTCAAAGTTCTAAGATAAAAATTTACCTTATATTTATCTCTCTCACTGCCACCCATAGCACCAATATTTTCATGCAAAATATAAGTTTGTATGATTTTCTTTTTCTTCTGCAACTCCTCAAGCAAAATTCGAGCGTGTTCCTCAAAGAAATCTAGTTTCTCGGCTTTCTTAGCATTACTCTCTTGTAACTTTATAATACGATCTATTAACAATTGTTTACTAGGCTCTGTAGGCCGAATACTTTGGTCACCATTGATACTATTATCGGATAAGGCACCATTTAAAGCAACTGTTACAACAAAAAGATATTATTAATAAAATAGCATAAAAATGTATGTGTATAAACATTTAAATATGATATATCAAAGAACCTGTATTTAATGAAATATTTGATTCAGTCCTAGATGTAACACTTAATGAATTATAAGGTACTGATGTTTCAAATGCTTCTAATTTTTTCCGACATTGCTGAAGCTCACGCGTCATTTCCTTCATATTTAGTTGCTGTTTTCTTTTTAATACTGCATTTTCTCCTTGACTATCTTCTAACTCTTGAGCAAGATTTTGCGCTACTTGTGTTTGTTCAGCAAGACGTTTGGCTAAAACTTCACATTCTTCGATTCTCGCTTTCCTTTCTTCGGCAAAACTTTCTTCCAACGCTTTCACTTTATCAATTAATTCATTTATACGTTGATGCAACGGTCCATTTTCCTGTTCTAACTGTTTTACTTTGGCTTCAATAGCCGTAAATTCCGATTGTAATCGTACATTTTTATCAGTCAATTTTTGCGTGAAGTCCAGCATTTCTGCTTCTTTTTGACGACAGGCAGACATATCAGCCTGCAATTCTTCATTAGCCAAACGTAAATGTTGGATTTCTACTTCGGTTGATGTTAAGTATTGATTTTTGCTACGTTAAAAAAAATATATATATAGATTACTAGTAGAAAAGACAGATTATACGAAAAACAAAGATTATTATACGAATATGATATTTACTGTTGAAGCTGAATCTTCAACGTTTCTAATTCAGATACTTTACTTAGCAATTCTGTAATTTCTTTCTGACGCTGATCTACTATAATCTTTAAGTTACTCAAATTACTTTCATAATTTAACCGACATTTTTCGGCATCTTGTATCTTTAAACTAAGCGTGTTATTTTCTTCAATTAAAACTTGCTGTCTATGCTTCAACGTATCTACTTCCTTTTGTAACTGAACCCTCAACATTTCTTTATCCTCCGTGACATGTCTTTCCAGAATTAAACGTGCCTGTTGTTCTTTTAATTGTTGATCTAATGTAACTGCTTTGTTCTCCTCCGACTGTTGAAATTTTCGCATTGTTTCTTGTGTTTCCTTGCGGACCTGTTCACATTCTTCTTTCATTTCGTTAATTCTGATCTACAAAAAACAAAGGAGTTAATACCATACAATTATACACAAAGGACCAAACTGCATCCTTTCAGTGTCATTACTGTAGTTTTATCTAATTTTTGTTGAGTTTCCTTCTGCAAATCCATTTCTGTCTTAAGTTTGTTCTGAGTCCATTGTAATTTTATATCCCTCATCTTTACATCTTCCTTCAATTTTTCAACTTCTCTCTGGAGATCAGTTACTTCGCGATGTTTCCCGGTCAGAATGTTACATATTCTAGCTCGTTCTCCTTGCATTTCCCGTAATTTACTTTGAAGCGCCTCTTGTTGGGTTGTCATTTCTTTTATCTTACGTTCTGCAAATTCCCTTGCTCTGATAATAATAGCACAGTAAACGGATAGACATTAAATAATTATAAAATATGTCCATCAAATTTATAAATGTTTTAACGTACCTCTGTGTATCAATAAGTTGCTTTTCACTAACTGCGTATTTCATCACCATGCTTTCCCTTTCTTTATTTGCAGCATTGTACTCCTTTTTATACATTTCCTGTGCTTCTAACGATGTATGTAATTCAAAGGTGAGTCTGTTTATTGTCTTTTCGAATGTTTCTATCTGTACAGAGGAGATTTCTCCTTTGTTTTGTGCTTCTAAAATTCGATTCTTCTCTTCCAAGTGTTCGACTTTTTCTTGTAACTTCAAATGCTTAGATTTCAAATCCGCATAATCTTTCAATAAAGTAAGATAAGCTGGATGCTGCAATAAATTTTGTTTCGAATTTTCAAGGTCAATATTTTCTTCTTTTCTTTGACATATGATACCAGCAATACTTTGATCTGTGTCATCGTATCCAGTATTTAATATGATAGAATTAATATTTTCAGTCCTACTTGTTTTTATACAGAGTACATTGTCATTTGTTTTACTAATGTCGTTATTTATAGAAGAAAATTCTGATTGTTCTGAATCTCTCAATTTAAGAGAATGATCAATATCATCACTTTTATCAAAGGTATCATCATTTGTAACTAAGTACCTTTTATTTTTTTTAATATTTTCATTTATAGTTTCATTTGAATTTAACATAAAAGTATTCTTATTTTCATCATTTTTTATATATTCATTTTCTGTAATTTGAACATCTGCTTCATCTTTCACTACATGAGAAATATTTTTTGCTTCCGTCAATGATTCTGAGTTATTAAATACTGATCCTGTCGAAGAGAATTCCATACCAGAAGATACCTGTGTATATCTTTTCTCGTTACAAGTATTATCTGCAGATTTCAATACTGAATTATACCTCATTGTTAAATGCTGTGGCAACAATGCTCTTTCCATTATGTTTGTCGATTTTTCTGTGATAAAGTTTAAAAAGTTGCGACTTTTGTTTAAAAACTGAGCATTTGATTGCATTATGTTAATTGGATTAGTTGGCAGTGAAATTTTTACCAATTTACTATCATCGATTAAAGTTGGTCTAGATATGATATTGCTCTGTGGCTTGGTACTCTTAATAATTTCACATGGTTTTTGTTCTTTATTAGACTCTCTTTCGCATTTAACTACATTTGTTCGGGTTTGATCATTATTTATTGTTAAGTTTTCATCTGTATTAGAATGACATACTTCATCTTTCATTCTTCCAATATTATTTTTAATTTTACAGTTTTTTTGTGTGTCTACAATAACCCTCAAAGATGTTTCATGATTCTCCGTGTGCAATTTATTATTATTAAAAATTGTTTTTTCTTCGTCATTATACATTGTATTTGGTGATGTAGACCTTAGATCATGATTGGAAATCACATCTGAAGGTACACTCAAGAGTGTATCACCTAATGTTGATGATGATGATCTTACATCATTACAGGAAGATGATTTCCAGAGAGACTTTTCTTGTGGAAGAATTGTATCAACAGACGTTTGACATATTAGAAACTCGTTCGAGAAATTATTTAAAGAAGTGGAATTCTTCATAATTGTATCAATGTTATTTTCCTGTATCAAGTGACACTCTCTTTGGTCATTGTTTTCCAGCAATAGCGAATCTACTTCGGTTTGAGCGATACTGTCTCGTATGAGCTCCTCATGAATTAGCATTGTTTTTTCATGCGTTCTTGCGTTTTGTTGATTCAAGGAATTAGTGTCTAAGAATGTTAAATCAAAGAGACGGTATTAGAAAGTTTAAGCAGCTGCTATTTAAAGTATCTTTATTTGAATAACATAAAAAACAATTCACGGTGAATTTTCATTAAATGAAGCTTGTTTAACCGTACCTTCTGCAGCTGAAGCGTCTGACGTTACACTGGACCTAATTTGATCAGAATTTTCGAGAAGTGTCTTTTTTTCGGGAGACAACTCCAATTCTTTTTCCTCCATTTCACCAACTACAAATTCCATTTCTTTCGGATCGGCTTGATCCTATTTCACGGTGTTATGCTCTCCTATGCAAATCATAGGTGCCAAAAGATTTCACTGTCAATCCGATAACGAACTTGTGGTTATCGTATTAAGCGACATTCGCGAAAAAAGAAATTAAAATCAAGGATGATAACCTAAAATCTGAGATTCTGAGCGAACCTGTCATTCTTCGGACTGTTTCTATCTCCACGCATATAATTAGTACGTGCACCGTGTGGTGTATCACTGGACCTAAAAACATTGACTAAGAATTCAATCGGAGCATGCAATACACGAGCGTGCAACGTGAGACACGCGATACATGTGTATTATTTGCACCTGAAATTTTTTAAAAAACGAAGTTATTTCACCATGTCAAGCATGCCAGTTCAAAGTGTTAAAAAGCTGTCGCATTTATTTCAACCGGCCACAACTACGATCGCTGCCGCTAAAAAGATAGAACTCTCTTCGAAAAGTTACGAAGTACATTTTATCGTCTTTCTTTATTCGAATCGTGTAATATTTATAATATCATATAATCATAATGTATACTACTTTTTACATAATTAATATATTGCAGCACTTGATTAAATATGGGCTGATCAAACAAGTCACCAATGGCATGTATGCATTTCTACCTTTAGGCTTACGTGTTATAAATAAATTAGTGGCGCTTGTTGATGTTGAAATGGAAAAGATACAGGCCCAAAAAATGTTGCTTCCAGCTCTAACATCCACACATTTATGGAAGAAAACAGATAGGTTTAATGACAATGCGAGTGAATTGTTTAAAGTGCAGGACAGATCTCATAGGCAATATATACTCAGTCCTGTGAGTTTCCAATGATTGAAAAGGGAAAATATTAGTAGATGAGATTTATTAAGAACATGTTTTTGAACATCAGTGTTAAATATTTCTATAGACACACGAAGAAGCAATTTGTTCTATAATATCGTCAGTAGGGGCATTATCGCCAAGAATGTTTCCCCTAAGATTATATCAAATTTCTACCAAATGGAGAGATGAGATAAAACCAAGACTGGGTTTCTTGAGAAGCAGAGAATTTATTATGAAGGATTTATACACATTTGATATAGACGAGGAAAAAGCAAAAGAAACTTATGCATCAGTGTCCGAAGCTTATGAGAATATATTTAAGAAGATAGGAATAACATACGTCAAAGGTAATCAAATAAATGATGTAGCCTAATATTTCCTCTGTTAATATTATTTCTATTTGCAGCTATTGGCAATCCAGGATCAACCGGAGGTTCTATCACTCATGAATATCATTATCTAAGTGATATTGGTGAGGATATTGTTTGTACATGCTCATCGTGTCAATACAGTATTAACAAGGTAATGCACAAGGAATCACATTGCCCTGATTGTAAAAGTGCACTCAAAGAGCAAAACAGTGCTGAGGTAATGGAAAAATTTAATTTTTGAATTGATCTGAAGTTCCGTAATAAAAATAATAATAATAAACAATTATTTTTCATTTAAGATTGGACATACATTTCTATTAAATACAAAATATACAGATCCTCTAGACGTAGCAGTAAGAATAAACAATAAGCTAACACCCTTGGTAATGGGTTGTTTTGGACTTGGTTTGAGTCGTATTTTTACAGTTATGGTCGAAGTGTTATCTACTGAAAAAGAATTAAGATGGCCAAAGAATTTGGCACCATATACTGTCTGCATTATTGGACCAAAGGTATGTACTATGCAATACTTTTTACAAACAATAAATATTAAAAATTCTAATTTACAGGAAGGTAGCAAAGAAGAAAATTCGTCACACTACGTAAAAGACATAATTGATATTTTAACTCAATTAAATTTGGACATTATACTTGATGATAGAACATACTTAACTATTGGAAATCGTTTAATGCATGCCCGCATAACTGGATTCCCTTATGTTGTTATAGTTGGTAAATCTATATTACAATCCCCACCTTTGATTGAAATTATTGATATAAATAATTCAAGAAATTGTAAAATACCTTTGGATAATTTATCTGGTTACTTCAGTAAAGAAGATATCAAGAGTTAAAGAACTTATACTAGTACATTAAAACCATCTATTCTTTAGCAAAAAGAAGATGTTATTAATTTTTTATTGAACGAAAAAGTATGTCATATCATAAATTTTTCAGTTTCTATTATAAATTTTAATGTTCCAATTTAACTTTAACTCGATGATATGCGTTACAAAGAAAACCTCGTAAATTCCATATGTTTTCAAAACTTTCTGGTTGGACATTATATGATGCGTCTACAGCTTTTGCCCAAATTTCTATTTCTTTACTTCCTTTCTTAACTGGAAGATTTATACTCCACAATGTCCAACTCCAGTATCGACCCTCTTTAGCATTATTGTCTTCAGCAATTAAATCAGCTACGTACCAAGTTTTACCTCGATCATTTGTTATGTCAACTCGAATGATTTTTCGACCTCCTCCCGACCAAGCATACCCTGTGAAAAACTTTGGATATTGTTTCAAAAAATAGATATGAAATTTTAAGGGAGAAGAGGAAGAGATCCCAATCATACAATTTTAATTTCTGATTTTTATTATTGCGTCATCGCTTATTCGACATCTGATGATAATTACTGCAGCGAAAATGTTGATATAGTTTTTTATTAATATCCCGGAAACTAATAAATTTTGAGATCCTCTTCCCCTTCTTTCTATCCTCTCAAAATTTCATGTCGACCGGATGCTTTTCTGAACTGTAGAACAAAAACTTTAATTAAAGTATAATTACATTGACAATATAGAAAATGAAATCTTAAAATTTATTTCACCTTTCACATTTATTTTTCCATCTATTACTTTGATTATTTCAGATTGTTCTGGTTTGCAAATTGCAGAAACCACAGGCATTTCCTGTATGGCAGGTGCCTTAGAAAAATCTACATTATCCCAATCAGTATTAGGAGAGAAACCCTTGTAATCACCTTGTTGCCATTGCGACGGGCTTTCTTCTTTGGAAACAATTATTTTGGCTATAAAAATTACAGCAAAATTTACAAAGTTATGCCATTGTGTGCTTATAATACATATTTTTTCACTACCAAGCCATTTCACATTCCTAGCGCCTGCAACACCTGGTACGATTACTCTAATTGGAAAACCATGATCTCTTGGTATCGGTTGCCCATTCATTTCATAAGCTAAAATGATATCTGCTCTAGGGTCCATAGCTTTACTAATGGGTACACTTGCCCCATATGGAGTACCAGAAGGATCTAAATCATATCCTTCAAACTTGACCCATGAAATTATTCACATTTTTAAGTAATATTTTTTATGATTCTTAATGTTTAAAAAATCTTTTTCATTTATGCATTAATACCTGTACATGATTGTAATTATCCTCATTAATTCCTAAATCTTTCAATATATCATACAACCTTGCACCAGTCCATGTAGCATTACCAACAGCACCTACACTCCAACTAAGTCCTTTCAAGTGTTTTACCTATAATATTAATAGTACAAAATTTTATAATATAATAGTAATAAATTAAAGAAGTTATAATGGATAATGGAAAATACAAAAATACCTTTTAAAAAAAAACCAAAGTATATAGTTACAAAAAGGAAAGTATATTAACTTACTTGTGTCATTTCTGATCTTCTATTTCCTGCACACATTACAGTACTTGTTATCGTGTACTTAGGATATTTCTTTATGTCTTCAAATTTGAAACTTTTCTTTGTCACTTCTTCTACAGCTAATTCTAAATTGTAACTCTTTAAGTCTATCTCAGGAACAGGAAGATGATTTCTTACATAAAATAATTCTCTGGAATAAAAGAATATCTTTAAAATAAATTGTTCCACAAATAATATTCTTAAAAATTGTTTTTAAATTTACGTTGGTGTAATGAAACTTTCAATCAATAACGAAGATGGTGGTTCAGCGCAAAAAGGTTTCTGCCCATTTATCTTTAGAATTTTATGTCTTTTTGGTTCTTTCAAGTATGGATCCTCATTAATTACATTAGAAATTACATCATCTTTTGATATGTTTCCAATTCTCATTGATTCAAGGAGTTCATATATTTCTTTTGTGTTATGATTAGCAAAAATTGACCAAAAGGGTTCAATTGAACTGCCAGCTGCCATCAATATTTTAGAAGAACCACCTGGATGTTTTTCAACAAAATCTGTTATGTCATATACACCTTGTTTAAACATTACCCAAATACCATTCTCTTTATTATCATGTTTGCCTATTTCTTCCAAGTTGTATGTTTTTAAGTCTACTCTGAACTCTCCGCATGAAATAGGTTTCTTATTCAAAGCATGGACTTGTTTATAAAATGTGTAATAACATAAGCCTAATATGGATGTGGTAATTGCAATGTATGCCGTATATTTTGCATAAGAATTGCTGTTTCGTTTAACATACTGTTCTTTATAAAAAGAATACTGCCTAAATGGTTCAACATAGTACTGGATACAAACAGTTGATGTCAGTGATAAAGATCTAAAATGATTAATATTTTATTACATTTATATAATATTTTATTTCACATAAAATAATCTTATTATTTATTATTTATTCATCTGAAACCATTAATGAATATGCGAATATTAATATATTATTGCAAAATGTAATATAACGAATTTAATTAATATACAATATATATTATGTGTGAGATCATGTGATATACGATATATATTAATATTTAATTAATATACAAATATTATTATATTATTATGAAATATAGTAAATTGAAGATAATAAGAACCTATTTCTCAGATGATTTAGAATCCTCGAATGTAAAATCATAATTTGAAATTTCTATACCGGAATGTTTTCTTGTGAATTAAAAGAAATGTACGTAATACTATTTACTCGTATTTACAATTTACTAAATTTACTCGTGTATCAAGAAACGATGTGTCAATGACTTAGAAATAGACAAATTATTATATTTTCGTAATTTTATTTTTCAAATACAGATTTTCGAATAGAAATATCACAAGTACATATGTGATATATATTAAGTTTTCATTTCATGATGGCTCCCTGTCATTCTTGTGCACGAATGTTTTCCTAATTCTTTGTACAATTGTTTCACTTTTCAGTACTTTTGTTTCAATGAAACTTCTTCAAAAATTAGATAATCAGGTACAATAGTGCTGAAAAAAATACTTTTAGTATTGTTTTCTTTTCTTTTCTTTTCAAGCAAATACAGAGATCATTTATGTGACATCAAGAAGTTATCTACTTTATTAGTAAGTACGTAAATACGCGATATTTCTCTTTGTAACACTTTTATCAATATACGTTTTCATAATTTTTAAACGTGATGTTACATAAATTTTCTTGCTGTAAATATGTCACACGTATTAAAATATTATTTAACCATTTAAAATTCGTTGAAAGTTCGATGTAAAGGTTATAGATACATATATCGAGTTGTATCGAATTTCAAATAAAAATACAGGCGTTATATTCACATTCATATAATGTAACATATTTAAAATTTGCAAGTTTGTTAAGACTCTGATGATGATAATTGATGTACAATTTCTAGGTGAAGGAAATGATAAAGATTGAATAATCAATTATGGCAATGGCTATGAGAAAACGGAGTGGTTCTGGCTCTAAACGCCAACATAAAGGAAAACTTGTACCTATTTATGAAAGCTTCTTCAAAGGAGAAGACTTGACATTGGCTCATCCAAATTTTTGGAACGAACTGTTTTTAATTAAACCTATGGTCAGTACTTTCATCATCATTTTTATTAAATATCACATTACAAATACAATTAAGAAAAAAGTTTCTGACACTTTTTTTTTGTAATTTTGAGAGAATTTTACAAAGTTTCCAAGTCAAAAATTCTTCTCATCTACCATAAAAATCATTGAGTATGTTTCATCTGTAATTAAAGTTTTCTTTTATATTGAAAAAAAAAGAATTTATTAGTAGCAAAGATTTATAATTAAATTCTACTTTTTTTTTTTTCTTTATCACATCCTTGTGTATAGAATATTTGCTATTTTCTTGATGTTTCTTATTTTCTTGTTTTTCTTGCTTCTTTGAACTAGCTACAAATTCATTAATAATGTAATTATCTTTTAAGTCATTAAATGAAGTTGGTGTACGTTTATAATCCTCTGAATTGCATTGATCTTTATTTTGGAATTTTGTCTCGAATGACACTTTTGATTGTTCTTTTTGTTGTTTGGATTCATTGTTAACTGAAATTGCATTTATTACTAGTAATTCAATAATTTTATGAAAAAAATATTTTTCACTTTTAATACATACCTTTAGGTTCAATATAATCTTCACATTCTAATTCTTTGCGCAAAGTACCAGGCATAAACTTGCACTTGAAATTAAACCATGCTTCACTTGTTTGAACTCTATATTTTAAACATTTTAATTGATATATACACACTCTTCCATAATATTTAGTTACTTCCCATGTTGGTAATGACTATAATATTAATAAATGCAAACAACATTGTTTAATTATAAATATACATTTGTAATATATTTTTAACACTCACTTGTATTAATTTTGTAACAAATTTACTAAACATGATGTATTAAAATACATTTATGTATATAAACAAACATAAATTTTTAAACAGGATCGTAAATTTGAAATATCATTTTCTTAGTGCAAAAAAATTGTTAAGTTAACCAAATAAAATGAAAAATTTTAGTACTTCTTATTAACAGCAAATTTTCTTATGAATTTTTTCTGTCAAAGAAAAAAACAAATGAATTATTATACTATGTACCTTGTGGTTAAATTCACATTCAATATTTAATTGTTTTAATAATACATGATATTTTTTATATTTCTAGGTTCCACATATTGAAAGTGAAATTTTACATATGACTGCAGAGCAATTAAATGCAAGCAGAGAGAATTTAAATGCTTTGGTCTGCCATTGCGTAGATACGTTAGTTGATGAACATCCTTTCAGAGTTGTATATGCTTTACAAACTTTAGCAGCTGTTATTCAATCCATGTATAAGAAAGCTAGTCAAGGCGATTGTGGATTTAATTTAATAGATATCTTAGTAGGATTTGATTCTGCAGAACAGAGAATGACAACGTTAATGCAACATTGTAATAACTTTTTAACAGGTATATGCACTTTAATAGATACATAGGTAATTACTAACTTATTCATGTTAAGAAATCAAAGATTCAAATATACATTTAACATTTGAATAATCTGCAATCTTTCAAAATAAATTATTAAAATTTCCCATGATTCTAGGTGAATACCCTGATAGTTTAAAAGCTTTGTGCTTGAAATTATTGTTAATTATTGTAACTGGCATGGACAATGTTAGTCAAAACACTTTGTTGGAATATGTTATGCTTAATAGTGTTTTTGAATCTCTGGTTCAAGTAGGTGTTACTTTAATATTATAAATTGTTAAAAATATTCCAATTAAGCATATTTTCTACTTTTGTCTCTTTTTTTTTATACAGCTTCTAAGAGACACGACAGCTAGAAATCGTCACGGACATGACGCAGTGTTGCTTTTAACACTTCTAGTCAATTACAGGAAGCACGAAAGAGCAAATCCTTATATTGTTAAGTTATCGATTTTAGATGACGAATTAGCTCTTAATGGTTATGGACAAGTTATATCAAGTTCATTGATGGAATTTTGTAGACAATTTGTTCAACAAAGAGCAGGTATAAAACGTTTATGATCATATTTTTAAATTATTTATTATAAAAATAATAATAAAAAAACATGTTGCATAGAAATACAAGCATCGTGGTTATCTTCTTTAACTAGTATAGTCGGGAGTATGTTCGTTGGTGAAGAAGAAGCGAAAACGCAACAAGTTCGCGCGAATAATGCATTGTTGCTGGCACTTTATGAAGCCACACATTTAAATCGTAATTTTGTAACAACTTTGGCATATACACAAAGTGATACAAGTGCACCACCTTCTCCAAATAATACATTGGGACCAAATGCAGTAGCTCCCGGGGCACAATTGTCTGATGTGATGGCTCAGCCATTTAATTTGTTGGCCACATTCTTACAGTATTGGTGAGAATAAATATAAACAATAAAACTATAAAAAAAGAAAAGAATAGATGTTAATGCGTTGGGTTTTATTGGAAAAAACTTTAATTATTTCAGTTCAATAGTTATGCAGGTGATCAGAACAGAGGCAATAATGAATAATGTTAAGTTGTGCTTCCTCATATTAAGTTGTATCGCAGAGGATCAGTACGCAAACAGTTTGATGCATGATGCAAACTTGGCATTTAGGGTACAGCTCCATCGAGTACCAATGCATCACAGAAAGATACAGGACAAAGCAGCACCAGCACAACCATTAGCAGCTACTTTACTTGGTATAATTATTATGTGTCCAATACAAAAATTTGAATTGTTTAAACAACTGTCAAATATTGTAGATTTACTTGTTGAATTTGTTACGTCGCACATGATGAAAAAATTCCCGTTGGAACTTTATCATCAATGTATCGGAGTTCTACAGAGATTGCTTTGTTACCAAAAAAGATGTAGAGTTAGGCTTGGATATCAGTGGAGAGATCTTTGGACTGCTCTAATAAATTTACTTAAATTTCTAACGACTCACGAAAGCCATCTTATTAAGAAAATGAATATATTTCCATTAGCTATTCAGGTAAATTGATATAATTTATCTAATTCTTGTACAAAGTACAAATTTACGAAAATAAATTTAATTTTTCTAGGTTGTGAATATCTTGAACTTGTTTATTACGTACGGAGACACATTCCTATCCTCTCCTAGTAGCTACGACGAATTATTTTACGAAATAATACGAATGAGGCTTATTTTCACAAATTTGAATGCAATGGGTATATATTAAACAAGTACTTTTATATTTTTTTTTATTGTTTAAGTCATATGGTAGTTGATGACAAAAATATATTATATGTTTAAGCGCTCCGTTATTCAACAAGCGAATCTTACGAGTATAAAGAACATGCATTAAAGTTGACAAATTGTTTGGTAAATATGAGAGACATAGTGAATCATTTTCCACCAAAAATAGCAGCGTGGTTGGCGAGTGAAAGTTTATCAACTCCAACGGAACAACAAATTTTAGCTATTATAATACAAAATTATGACAGCCTTACGTTAAAGTTGCAAGATAATTTAGATCAATATGAAAGGTATTCTGAGAAACCTAATCATGTTGCATTCTTTGAAGAAATGGTAATAATCAATTAAATGTATAAAATTATGATTTTAGATTTCTTTTTTTATGGCTTTTATTTTATCTTCTAGGTAACTGGAGTCGTAATTGATACTCGAGGATCTATAGATTTGAGTTCATTAGACACACAGGCTATATTACAAGAATTATCGAACATCTCGTAACATAAGTTCCATATGAAGTGTAAATCAAATCCTGTGTGTCATTCTGTTGTCATGTATTATAATGTATTTTTTTTAATAAAATCAGCTTTATATGTATGTTCTTAATGCCACGAATGTATAGCTACTTACGAAAATGACACATCATAGTGTGTTTGGTCGTTGAGCCATATTTCTATGAATTGTGTATACAGGTTTTAAAAAAAATTATTAAAAATTTAATATGTCAAGTAGAATCATTTCATTATTATCCAAGTATCTTTTATTATCTTGATTTTTTTTTCAAAGATTTTTCCTTAACATTTTTTTGCAAGAATTGCAGCAGCTGCTTTGGATTGATTTTGCCTTTGAAGTTGACTACTGATGAATTCTCCTATTTTTACTATTTTATTAAGGTCTACTCCAGTTTCTAAATTTTGGCCGTGTAGAAAATAAAGTAAATCTTCAGTAGCAACATTTCCAGAGGCTCCAACTGCATATGGGCAACCACCTAGACCAGCTACAGACGAATCAAAAGTTCTTATTCCACATTCGAGGCTAGCATAAATATTCACTAGAGCCTGTCCATAGGTATCATGACAATGAATTGCAAATTTATTCATGTCATTTGATATATGCTCTAATTCATATAATACATTCTTTACTTTATTAGGTGATCCTACACCAATAGTATCTCCTAAAGAAATTTCATAGCAACCATATTGTAACATGAATGCCGCTAAATTGGTTACAGCCTTTGCCTGAATTTGGCCTTCATAAGGGCAACCAACGATACATGATATATAGCCTCTAACTTTAATATCATGTTTTAATGCTTCTTCAATAACTGTTTTAGCTTTCTTTATACTATTATCAATGGAACAGTTGGTATTCTTCCTTGAAAAAGTCTCAGATGCAGCCAAGAAGATAGCTATCTCTCTTACATTGACTTTCATTGCGTCTTCCAAACCTTTCATGTTTGGTACCAATACTGGATAAGAAATATTTGGTTTCTTGTTAATTTTTTGATATATCTGTGCATTGTCTGCCATTTGTGGAACCCATTTAGGAGATACAAAACTAGTGACTTCTATATTCTTTAATCCACTTTCTGAGAGTTTGTTGATGAACTCAACTTTGACTTCAGTTGGGACAATGTTTCTCTCATTCTGCAATCCATCTCGAGGCCCAACTTCAACTACTTTTACAAAATTACTAACTGATCTTATCTTTTTTACAGAAAAATTATGTATATTATTTTTACTGATAATTTTAAACATCATTGATTAAAATATTAATATTTCACCTTTATAAAAAGTATCCTATTTTTTCAAATAAGATATTCTATCTTATAAGAAATACAATATTACATTTAAGAGAAACGTATTCAATGTACAGTGAAAAATATCCACATTGCTCGATATTGCGTGATAAATCTGTTGATAAAACATGATCATAAAATAGTGTAAATTTGTGTTAAAACATGATCAATCATTGTAATCAATGTCTAATTACATTACAAATTGAAATGTAAAATAAGTTAAAGCTGTATTGAAATAACATGAAACAAGTGTTTGAATTTCTGGGAATTTTTGTTCGTAAATGTATAAAAACTTTAGATTTCCTCATTTATTACAATGGCGCTGCTCTCGATGCAACGCCATTTTTAAAGTGATACGTGAAACATTTGGAATATTTCCGACATTTCTCTAGAAAAAGAATGTGAATTATATATGTACTTGGTTCTGATGAGACAATATTTGTTCAATAAATGTATTTTATATACTCCGTAAAAAAACATTATCAGTTAAATATTTCGTGTATATTTCGTGTATATTTTAACTGATACGTAAACGTTGCTCATCGAAACTAGAAGCAAATTCAATTTGTGCTGAAAGAAACATGTTTCCAGCTTACGCCTACTTGTCAGCTTATGACAGACATAAAAAACTAATAAATGATTATTTCACGTTATACGGAGGTTCGGTGTCATCTTTAAAACGAGACACGTATGTTAAATTTTTTAATTGGTTCTCATATATTACAACTTGATATTGTAACCTTATTGTATACTTGATCTAACTGTATAGTAATTTGGCGTTTCGTAAGTTAACATTTAAATCAAAGTTAACATTTATAATATTTATTTAAAATGTGAAAGTTTGGTAAAAAAAAAATGTTTTTACCAAATATTGTAAATATTAATGTTAGAAGGATATTTACAAAAAAAAATTATATATTACGTAAATATAACTACATAAAAATAAATAGTAAAGAAAGAGTGACGACTCTGTAAACTCTAAAACAAGCAGCTCTTGACGTTTCGGCCTGTGTTTCGAGGTCCCGAGATAAGACTGACTATGACGTTATTAGAGAAAACCATAGATTTCTGTGGGATCAGGATAATGACAAACCAGAAACGTGGGGTGCTCGTTTGGCAAAGAAATATTACGACAAATTGTTTAAAGAGTACTGTATAGCTGACTTAATGTACTACAAGCAAAATAAGGTAGATTATATATATTTTAACTTTTCAAGGACTATGTCTGATATTGATGATATAAACTTTTTGATAATTTCCATAGATTTAAATTACATTAATAATAACAATAATTTTTGTAACCCTAAATAGTAGCAATAAATTGATTTAATTTATATATAATTATAAAATTTATTATTGTTAAAATTTAAATGAAGATTGCACAAGAATTGATTCGATGCACAGACATCGTTCCTGAAGAGTTCATAATGAAATATTTTAAAATTAAATCCTAAAGGTCAATATTGAACAGGTTGCCTTAAGATGGAGAACAGAGAAAGAAGTTATTGTTGGTAAAGGACAGTTTGAATGTGGAAATAAAAAATGTAAAGAAAAAGAAGACCTTAAATCTTGGGAAGTAAATTTTGGTTACTTAGAGCAGGGTCAGAAGAAAAATGCTCTTGTGAAATTAAGTAAGTTGTGTTATAGTTTATTCTAAGTTATTATGGGTGAAATATAGATTTACTGTTGGTGTACATTTTAAGGACTATGCCCTGAATGTTCTACAAAGTTGAATTATAGATCTCAAAAACATGAAGCAAAGAAACATAAAACATTAAAGAGATTAGGAACAAATGGTGAAACGCCTCGTAATACGCCCAGTACATCAACAGTTGAAATCAAAATTGAAGAGGATGGAAGTACAAATAATAGTGAGAAATTAGTTGAAACAAGGGAAGATGAATCTAAGATTTGGAAAGAAAAACCAATTGAAAATCTGGAAAAAACAAGAGAAGAGGAATTTGAAGAGTATTTAGCAGATTTGTTAATATAGGGAACAAAATTAAATTTTCTACCAGAATATTAGTAATGTCAAAGAAATCATTTGTTATTAACTTTGTTAAAAAAAAATTAACAATTTCCATATACACTAGTCACGTTTAAATAAACTAACAATTACAGTTGCTGTATCTTTATTTTGATTGATGCATATGTTCTTATTCTACCAGTATATTGCGTGATAACAAGGCTTAGTATATATTTTTTTAACTTTTACACTCGGAATAATTGTTGTTCATTTTTTACTTACATTTACAATAAATTCTTTATGGTATGAAAAAAATCTAGCATCACAGGTAATAATGTGTATGTATATACATATATGTGTATATTGTATAATAAATAAATACAACTATTTATTTTTATTGCAGTCAAGTATTTTCAACAACCTTTATAATATATACATTATTGACAATTAAAGTAAATTTTTGAGTTAACTGTAAAATTAAGTAATAATTTTGAAGCATAATTCTGTTTCTTCTATTATTGTTCATATATTCTGTTTCATTGAGTAAAGAGTAATATATTTTATATAATTATTTTCGTTATTCATTTTTATACATAGTAGAAATAATTTTATAAATTACAGTATTAATTGCAATTTACAAGTCAAATCATTTCGTTGACAAAAAATATTTATAATTTTCTATTTCTAAATTTTTCATAATTGTAATAAACTTACACATCTATATAGACAAAAATTAATAGTTCGAGTTAATTTTTTATTTTAAATTTTACTATGTCATTCACTATGTCATTCACTTGTCGTATTAATAAAATTTCATGTAAAAAGACTAGCCTAATACTCAAACTTACACTACCTTCAATAGTCATAACACTTATTATATACAATACATAACAAGTTTATAATTATATTATGTAAGATTGAACTTATAAAACGTGTAGTACATACCTAGAAAAATTCAGTATTAAGATATATTTCATATTGCACCTATTTAATATTACTATGAATGCCAATTTCTTGTGCGAGAATCATTCACGTTAAAAATAATACACGATCAAACGATATTATCGTGTTGTTAGCCAATAAAATATTAAATTCTATTATCTTTTATAAAAATTTCATTACTAATATAAGTAAACGAACAACTTCTATTGACAATATCCTATTTGATTGGCTTTCAGTTTAACATTTATATATAAATTTATAAACTTGTATATGACTACTTGAACTTTTTTGTATATAGCTTGTACTATTTTACATACATTTAAATAAATATTAAATTAAATCAATAAAGAAATATAAATGTGTAAATTAATTTACATTAACGTTTATAATAATTTATATTTTGTAACTTTTTAAATCATGACAATAAAAAAAAAGAATTGAGTTTCTATAATATATATTAACATTATATGTTATATTCATTTTGGAATATATATTCGATAAATGTAATTGAAACTTAATATGAATTGAAAAATACTATTAATTAATTTCAGTAGATTCGATCAAGACTTTTAAGCTGGATATCTATGTAATAGGATTCTATTCAATCCTTTAATAATATTTTAATGAATGGTTAAAAGAGAATGTAGAAACATGTAACTGAAAGAAGAAATAACAGTGAAAATAATTCATTTGCAATTAGAATTCCTTGTGCACGATCTTACGTGATTTGCTTGTTTCTGAGAGTCACTATCTTCATCACTGCAATCTTCATCATGAGTGTGTGTCACATTACGCGGAGTTTCTGGCCTTGCATGCGGTATTTGATTATTGGGACAGTCCATGTACAAAGTTTTCTAAATTGACAATACGAAGAATTTAAATTCTGTATTTATATATAATATCAAAATAAAAGCAAACTTTTCAATACGTACAGTAGGTTTATTCTGTTCTTCTTCTTCTTCTGCGAGCTTGAATGTCCGAGATCGACTGATCATTGGTGTTTCCATAACAAATCTTTGTTCGTGAGCAACTGTACTCTCGTGAGGCATCTTGATAACATAAAATAAAAAGTAGTCAAATTAAAATTTCAAAATTTTATGAACAATAAAATAAAACATTCTTTCTCCAGTTAACTTACCAACATAGCCGGGGCTCGGAACATGTACGAAAATGGATAATAAATGAGATTTAAAAAGGTTGCTGCGTAAAGATCAGCATACCTCACTACTTGACTACTGAAGAAGGTTTGCCTACTTCCACTGCGGAACAATGAACCCATCATTCCGTAAGATAAATCCATTTTGTGCGTAACGTCTCTTATAGATGTTCGCAGCTTAGAAATATCAGGCTTTTCTTTTGTGCTGCTATCTAAATTTCTATACAGGAAAACGAATGAAGTTAAAATTCATAAAAATGTTTAATAATTTTCGTATAACAATTCCCTCTTACTTGTACATTTCTCCTAGCATAACATCTAAATTTTGTAACTCGGCGAACAATTGACATTTATCCGTCCAAACATGAAGCTCTTGTACCAGTTCAGGCACTATTAAAAATGTTCTCCACCCTCTGATCTTTTTACTTTTTAAAATATCACCGAAGATATGATCACCAACATATAACACGTCTTTACCCTTTGCACCTATTAATTCGGTGAACACGTCACACGAGCCTCCTGAATAAACCTCTCCTGTTTTACATGAAATGTTTCATTATAATTTTTTATTAGATTGAAATAGTAATTTATACTACTAATATACACACAAATTAATACAATATAGTTAATGCATATAAATTAGTTTGATATAATTTAATACAATAAATGTAATATCTTGTATTTAAGAAAATATCAACATACCTGTATGAAGCGGCCCTTTGTGCGTTCCAAGTTTTAAAGCTCCGGTTTTAGTGTCCACCTGCCGCAAAATCGTACCCTCGCCAAAAAATAACGGTTTTCTAGCATCTACTACGATAGTATCAAAATACGTTTTCCAATTTCTGTGCGGTTCGTCAGGCTTTAAAGTAATTTTTATTAATTTTTAAGTAATTTTTATTAAAGTAATTTTTATCTAATGATAGATTTTTATGACAACAATGAATTCAAATCATATACCTTTGCACCATGTGGAAAATCGAACAGGTAAGTCATGATTTTATCGGTAAAGACGTAATCGCTATTCGTTAAAAGAAATACTTTTGCCCCACTTTCTCTGATCCTATTAAGAAACATTGGCAGTCTCTTATCTTTCTTCACGTATTCGTCCAAATTTTCTATAGTCTTCGTTTTCAAATCACCGTGAAGGTGTATCCAGTCCACAGCGTTTCGCACATCTTGGAATATGCTTTTAAAACTCATCGTAAGCTCTCCCTCTTTCACTCCTGTTTTCTCTCGCGAGTATTGCGGTGAATTTGTGAAAAAGTCTATCAAACAGGCTAATAAATATGTCTCAGGAAGATTGAACAACGTATTGAGCACGTATACTCTGGACTCGTCCAATTGTAAGAATTTATTTGGATAAAGCTCGTATACTTGTGAACTGAAATGTAAAAAAATATGTTGAATAATTTACACTTTGTTTTTCCAAATTAATTAACAAACAAGTAGACTGTGGAATTTCATGTATTTGAATATGCAATATGCAAAAATAGTCTTTGTCATTTTAGAAATAATATCATGCTCATATATATATAACTTAAAAATGTTAAGAAGTTTGCTCTATTTATTAATTAATAACGCATTGTACATTGCATTTTTATTTATGAAATGACTTATAGCAAATAGTTGATAAAACGAATCTCTATTTAATTTCTATTTCTTTGATATATTTATAAAAATTTCAATCTGTACAAAAGGTGTCCACAGTCCTCAAGTAAATTACGATGACTCTTACTGTTTCAAAAATTCAAAACCGTGAACGCAAACCAAGATATTCCCATAGGCATCCACTTTAAGAAGATTCCCGTAAAGAGTATCGAACCATAATCCCCGCACCGGAAAACTAGGGTCGTACTCAAATGCTTTAATTTCCTGCGGATATCCCAGGGACACCAGACGATCTTTCAGCAATGTAAAACCCAATTGTTCGTATTGTGGCGACTTGTATTCTGAAACATTTTTGACATTTAATTATTTGAATAATATTATAACGCAATACTTGAAAATATTTTTCTGCGGTCCTTTGTTGTGCAACACGTATATATGCTTTTTTTACTCACCTGCCAACGTGTAATCCATGTCGAATCCATAGAATTTGATATTTTCTAAATGAAGGCTACGATTCACAAATATTCTGCAACAAAAGCAAAACGATAATAAATCTTACTTGTTCTTCTGTTCATGGTCACATTTAAAACATTCATTCAATGAGCGCGTGAAGAACACACTTTTCGAATTAGTTTGTCAGATCAGTTGTAGAATCGACACAATGTAATATAAATAAAAATTATACACCACATGAGCTTCATGATTGATTAAAATTTTCGATCGGTTTACTTAGAGAATCGAATTTCTTTGAAATTAATATTATTACATCAAAAACCTAAATCTAATTAACCTAGACCTAACCTAAATTAACTTAATTAACCTAGACCTAACCTATTTGTAGCGATTCCTCGAGTTAGGGATATTTGTGAGGGCGTAGGTAAATCATCTGGATGAATTGCCACTGGCAATCTCATTATATAGGAATCGCTGAGCTTTCTTTCTACTTTATTTTCTAAATCGTTCATCTTCTTTTTAAATAAATAACGCTCGTATCGACGAATATCTTTTTTCACCCTTTCAACGAGATCGATCTTACAATAAGAATATCCATTTAGAGGCTATGAATTGGTTTGTTTCAATCGTTATATTGTGAATGCGTTTTATACATTCTTCTTTTTCTAAATTAAAATGAAAAAGACCGTCGTCGTCGATCGCATCTCGATATCAGCCAATTTCGCATATCTTATCAAACTTTATAGTCTATTCTATTCAAGCACTTTGGCGAACACACAATTTTGTAAATATTTTCACTTTGCATTGGAATTACAATGTATAATATATTGTTGTATAAATATATTGTTTTGTATAGATAAAAAAAAACTAATGTAATAATTATTTAAAAAGGATAATAATTTAATTACCTACGTAATGTATAGAGATATATGAAAAAAATTATATACAATGTAGAACTAAAATAAAATATAAATTTATAGTGAAATCGATTATTAATAAAAATGTTAATAAAAATTACTGTACCGTACTAAGAGCATAATATTTAATTGAGATTCAGAGAAAAATGTTGCAACAACATACTGGGAAAAAGAATGGGGAGGGGGGAGACCGAGTATTGAATATAAGAGACAGGAAAAGATTTGTTATACTCATTAGTTCCAATTTTGAAATGAGTGACAGATGTTATCCGGTCAATGATCGTGCCGCCGATTTGTTAGATTCACAGTTTCAACGATTGTGCGCTTAATTAAACTGAATGATAATTGATCAATTTGTCAACACAACGACAAAGAATCACGAAGCTTGTACATAAACATTGTGTTTTTATGCAAATCGTGAAATTTATGCAAAAGTATACATATTTTGTCATTTAATTTCTTTGAAATTAAAATCTTTCAATTGACATTGAATCTCTTTAATAACAAGAGACATGTAATGACAATACTATCGCAATTATGTGTAATGTAGATTAACGAGAGTAAAATATATATCCCCCCCTCCCGCCCCAGGTACGTGATACCTTTTAGACAATCTTTCAGGAAGAAAAATACAATGAGTGCAAATGTAATGCAATACAAAGACGAATGGGTTAATGATCGACTCGACATTTATTCGTACATCACTAACATCAAGTTTATATTGTTATATCTCTCACATGAAAGATGCAGAAGGTCTTATAGGCTATGGCGCAGATAGCTTATAGGCCTCGATGATGGACAAATTTCCAACACAAGAGAAGAGAAAGAAAGAGAGAGAGAGAGAGAGAAAGAAAAAGGAACGAGGAACTTACTCGTTTTGGACGCAGCGCCGCGAGTTCACGAAATTCGCAGCCGGCAAGGCGTCGTCATTCACGTCCTTCAGCCACATTTTTCCCTATTTTCAAACAATCATCAGCACCTCGTGATCGATACGCGCACCTGTTAGTCGGTGATAACAGCTTCGATAGAATCGGGGGAATCGGTGAGAGAAAAGAAAAAGGAAAAAAAGAAAATGAGCATACGTGTGAAGCTTAGAGCAGAGAAAATCAAAACGTGTCGTATCTTCTCGTTTCGTAGGTTATGTTATTCCGCGAAAGAACACTGTTATCAGATATTTTATCACCTGCGACACGACAATTGCCATTGATGATACATCTTTCTTTTTAATATAAACTGATAAAACCTGCAGATTCTGAGAGATGATTATTAAGTTCTACTGTTAAATCACGAACACGACGAAAATTTATTAAGAATTGTCCGATAAGTACACATCGTGGGTGTTGAAATTAAATTCTGCGATACAATTGAAGTCAGGAAGAGACTCGAAACAAGGTGGAAATCAAGAATAACAGAAGTCACGTTGGCGGTTTCACTTTCGAGAAAGCGAAGCTTCGAAACTTAAGTTAAGCATGAGATCACATTGTACGTTGATCTATGTATGAGAGTGAATTATGAGAATGGTTCAATTAGATCGAAGTGTGAAATAGTTTGAAAATATCTTTTGGTGGAACAGTTTACACATGTTTACATAATTTTTTTTTTTTTTAATTTGATTTTCTCAAAGATAAAGTGTCCAGTGCTATCTTATTATTTGTCACTTTCATCTTATTTTCCCTCTAAAACCTTCCTGATTCCTCTTGTGACTTGCGAGCTCAATCCCACCGGTGTATTTTTGTGTACTTTCTCAGAAACAGTTAGAAATGATCAATGAAGCATCAGTACGTTGATACGAATACCACGGAAGAAAAGTCGAATAATCCAAAAAACGCGTAATATTACATCTCTAACATACGACTAATGGAAAATTATCTTTGGCTAGAGATAAATTATCGCGGAACTGTAATTTGAATAATTTACTATATGTTCGAGATTAAA